TGGGCCGGGAAACGGGGACATTAGTGGCACCTCTGCATGCCAGCGCCCTTGCAAGCCAGCACACCAGCACCCATGCACCCCCCATATCCCAGCATGGCAGCGTCCCTGAACCTCTGCCACCCAACACCCCTGCAACCCCACACGCTGGCATCATACAACCCAGCACCCCTGCAATCCAGCACCCATGCAACACAGCTCCCACCCCCCCGAGCAGATCAGCACCCCTGCAACCGAGCATCCAGGCATCCCTGCATCCTGGCACACCAGCGACCTGCAGTCCCTCATGCCAGTACCTCTGCAACTCAGCATGCCAGCCCCGGTGCAACCCAACTCCTACACACCCCTGTAACCCAGCATCCCTGCAAACCAGCTCCTGGGCAGCCTTGCCACCCCAGGATCCCTGCCACACCCGCATCATCTGAAGCCTGGCTCCGCTGCATCCCAGCACCCCTGCAACCCAGCACCCAGCACATCAACGCCTATGCAGCACAGCCCCCATAGCCCACATGCAATTAAACCAGCGTCCCCACAACCGAGCAATGCAGACGCCCCCACATCCTGGCACACCAGCACCCCTGTAATCCATCGTGCCAACAGCCCTGCAACCTGGCACACCAGCACCTGTGCAACCCAACTCCTACACACCCATGCAGCCCAGCAAGCCAGCACCCTGGCATGCCTGCATGCTGGCACCCCTGTTCCCCTGCAACCCAGCTCGTGAGCATACATGCCACCCCAATACCTCTGCCACCCATCCCAGCACCCCTGCTGCCCAACACCCCAGTGAGAGCCGTGCATACCCCCTCGCTAGGGGCAGGGTACAGCGGGCTATCCCCATGGCCTCACCTGCACCACCCTCATATCGAGCCCCGTCTCGGAGGAAAGCTGCTCCCGCACGTGCCGGGCGGGCTTGGGGGAGTTTTTGTAGGCATTCTTCAGTGTCTCCAGCTGCTTGGCCGTGATGGTGGTCCGGGGCCGCTTGGCACCCGCCTCGGAGTCGTCTGCAAGCGAAGGAGCCGGTACCAGCCCCGACAGCAGCCGCATGAGAACCCCAAACCATCCGCCCACATCGCTGGGGAAAAGCTCCCCAAAAACAGCTGTCCCAGAGCCAGCAGCACCTTCTCGCAGGTAAAACCCTGGTGATGTGACCCACAGCCACCCGTCAGTGTGATGTCCCACCTCGTAGCCCCTTCAGAGTACCTACCATTCTGCTTGGCGGTCTCGTAGTCCTCCTTGCAGACCAGCCGCCCATCCTCCATCAGGTAGAACTCATCGCCGGTGGCCAGCTGCCGGCTGCAGATGATGCAGGCGAAGCAGTGGAGGTGGTAGACGAAGTCCTGAGCTTTGCGGACCACCTGGGTGGGGGGGATGCCCTGCTGGCACGCCGTACATTTGGTCCCAAAACGCCTGCAAGGAGAAGCGGGCGACCCTGAGCCCCTCGGTGAGGTGGGCTTCACCGGAGATGGGGTGGGGACCAGGAGTCAGGGCAGAGTTTAAACCAGCAATCAACCTAATTATGCATGACACTTCACACGGCAGGGCTTTATCTTCTTCAGAGTGAAAGACCAGCCTAATGGAGCTGAGGAAGGTTTGATTTTAATGGTTCTTTTAACTAATGCTTATAGGCTGCCTGATTTTCCCCTGCAAGGACAGTACATATTTCATCCACATTAATACCAAATAAATTAATTACACCGCCCCGCTAGCATGATGAATCCCAGATTAATGCAGAATGATGGGGCTCTTACACCTTAATGACAGCCCGACGGGTGTGTGGGGTGGGCCAGCTTGGGGGAGGTGTGGGCCCAAAGAAGCCCACAGCACAGCTGCAAGGAGGGTGCAAGGAGCATGTGAGCAGTGTGGAAGCAGCATGGAAGGAGCGTGCAAGACTGGTGTAAGAGGTGTGTAAGAACACCTGGATAACACCCTGTGTAAACTGAAATAGCAGCACGAGGGGGACATGGAGCACAGGAGAAAGTCAAAAAGAAGTGGACATTCCACTGCTGTTTTCAGTATCAGCTGTGTGGGTTTTGGGATCGACATGAGGCAGATCTCCACCACCCACCAGCGCCACAGGGGCTCTGCTGGGTCTGCTCTGCTGCCCCAGCAACCCTAAACACTCCACCAGTGGGGTGACAGGACCCCATGGAGCCAACCTGGCATTGCAGCAGCACCCCAGGCAGCAAAACTATCAGAATAAATCTGTCTCCTACACCTTAAGCAGCCCTATCTGCTTCAAAAGAGGCAGCCCAGGGAAACCCAAGCCCTTTGGCCCCCTGTCCTGAGGCTGGAGAGGGGGCATTCAGGTGTGCCTAAGCGGGTACAGTCATGCTGGGCATCTCCTGCTACCTCCTGAGGGGTGAACATGCCCCCACCATGCAAAATCACCCCACAAGCCTCACAGCTGCCTGTGCCCTCATACTGTCCAGAAAGCTGGGGCACAACCACCAAAGCTGGATTGCCAAAACTGTCCCCAAGTCACACGGGTGTCACCCAGAGACAGGTGGCAGGCACTGGGCATAAGTGGTGCCAGCATAATTTTGGCAGCTGCCCAAAGAGGTGTTGGACGCAGAAGGCGAGGAGGGAAAACCTGTTTTGTCTCATTTTATGGGCTTGTATTCTAAATGGAGGGTCCCCAGACATCTGCTGGGGAGACCTCAGCTCTCCTGGAGTCAGCTGGGAGGGAGGGAGGGATGGGAGATGGAGAGAGAGATGAGATGAGATGAAATGAGATGAGATGAGAGATGGAGGAACAGAAGACGGAGGAAGCGAGGGAGTAGAGGGAGGGAGGGATGTACAGAGAGAGGGACAGGACAGACAGACAATGCTTCTCTATGCCCAAGGCTGAGCTGGTGCACGCTCTGCTCCTCAGCGTCCTTCTGCCCATCTGCACCTTCCTCACAGAACACTGTTAAAGCCCTTTTAAGACACCCCCAGCACCCCAGGGCCTTTCTGTACCACGTGGGGATGGCCTGACCGGGACAGAGCTGCCTGAGGCCACGGACCAAGAGCTGTGATTTCGGGGAGGGAAAAATATATGAAAACAAAAAAAAAATCTGATCTTTTCAGAAGCAGCTCCTGCATTTCAAACCTGCCTCTGAAGCTGGTCTTAAATCCTCACGTCCTCAGCAGGTTACCTACCCCGAAATCAATGAGCGGTTGAAAGAAAGGTGAGGTGAGCGCCGAGATGCTATTGATTGGCACCAAATAATCCAGGCAGGACCTCATCTAAGCAAGTCGCTGATCTTTCAACTCTAATTAACATTGATTGCCCGCACCTTTTGGGCGACTATTTAAATGACTTGGAGATTAATAGGCTGGAAAATATCAGAAGTGAAATGTTATTACCCAGACTTTAGTGGCTGCTTTGACCATCGCACGCTCCTCAGATGGAAAGGAGAAATTCAGGCTACAGCTTTGGCCCTGATCGCCGGTGAGGCAGGGTGTAGGAGGCCTGAGAGCCCAGGGATGGGCAGGCAGGGAAAGTTCTGCTTGGGGATTAGCGCGGGGTGTAATCACCATCGGTGGGTTTAGCTGGCCAGCCAGTGACGGGGAGGGATGGGGAGAGCTGGTGTGGCCAGGGGTGAGCAGGAGATGATGGTGTGGGGAGGTGGCACTGGTCCCCGAGGTGCGGAGGCTGCTTTTCAACCAGCCCTGTCACCTGCACCCAGGCCACAAACGGCACCTGCTGGCTGGGGTCCAGCCCCCTCCGCGCAGGGGGTGTAAAGCAGCACCCTGCTGCTCCATGGCAATTCACCAGCCCCAGAGCAGCACCCACTGCCACCCCGGGGAAAGCAGCGGGGGACTGGAGCATCCCCCACAGAAAGTCCATTTTGAACAGGAAACGGGTTGCCCTGTCCCACGGGAAATGCTGAGGCTGGGGCATCGCAGCTCTTGGAGGCAGCTGCCAACGAAAGCAAGTGAGGTTTTTGCACTACTGGAAGGGAAAAAAAAAGGATTAAAAAAAAAATCAAAAAGACGAAGGGGGAGAACCAGCACGAGCAAACTCCGGCGAGGCAAGCAAGGGGCTTGCTGTACTGCCTTCCACGGGTTTCTCCTGCCCTCTAGCTCCGAGTGAAGCTGGGGCCGCTGCCGAGCTGCCGCAGCTCCCCATCCCGCAGGGGTGGAAGCCAGCAGAAGGCAGGGACAGCAGCCCCAGGGAGATGTGGGCCTCGCAGCGGGTTAAATCCCAACAACCAGCACCCAGCCTGCGGCAGCCAGAAAACACCATTTACTTCATTTCCACAACAAACAAACAATAAAAGGAGGATAGATGGGGATTTTGGAGAAACTATGCTTAAAAATAGATTGTGTGTTTGCTCTGTGGGCAGGGGGCTTTGGAGGGGCTGTGCCCCTGCGGGGTACTCACTTGAAGAAGTCCTCCTTGCAGTAGACGCTGCCGGCCCGGGAGAAGCAGCGGTCAGCCAGCTGCATCTGGCAGTCGGCGCACTTGAGGCAGGAGCTGTGCCAGTGCCGGTCCAGGACCTTGAGGATGAACTTGTCCAGGATGTGCTGGTTGCAGCCAGCACACTGGGGGATCTCTGGGCAAGGGGGAGAGAGATGAAGAGAAGAGCAGCATCAGCCCCTGCAGCCCCTGCTGCGCTGCCACGTGGCCAGCATGGCTGGCAAAGCCCTGTGTTGGCTTTGCAGGGTGATGAGCTGCCACCCCTCATCTTGCCACTGTCCTGACACATCTTCTTTTGCCAGTCTTCATCAAAAGCCTCCTGGGCAGCAAAGCCCACGGCCTTGCCACGCACAGACACACACACGTGATGCTTTTTTCCCTTCTGTGTGCCATTTTTCAGGCCATGCTCTCTGCCACCCTCCCTCGAGGTCATCCTGCATCCCCCTGTTTGCTTGTTGCTCCACCTGTCCCCTAAGGGCCAGGTTGCTGTGGTGACCCAGGGCTTCACCCATGTGGTCCCAGCTGTGACGTAGGGGTGCACGACAACCACCATCTCAACCCCACCCACAGAGGCTTTTTGAACACGGGTAAATGTCTCTTTCCTTCCACTGCATTCCGAGGACCACAAGCCACCCATGCTGGCCATATTGGCCGCACCAGCAGCTGCCCAATGCCCCTCTCCCTGCAGTGCCAGGGCACCAGGTGACTTTGCATCCCACACAGCCAAACACCCCATTGGACCCCAGTTTTCCTGTGATGGGGACAGCAGGTTTCCATCTGCTTTCTCCCACCCAGCCAAGTTATTATGGACCCCTGTAACTGGAAACAGCTGGGAAACATGGGTTGAAGCAAGGGCACACTTGAGTAAAGCAGCACTAACCAGGGACAGTGGATCCAGTCCTCACCACAGCATCCATGCTGTGGGAGGGTGCTTGGAGAAGGAGGGATTTTCCTAAGGTAAGATGTATACCCAGCCACCAGGGCTCCTGTACAATGTCTGCCTACAGATGGACAGCTTCTATAGATCTGGAAGCTGGATATTTTTATCATTCTCTCTCTTCCCATAGTTCAGAATAAATGGGAGGTGCTGTAAAAGTCTGCAGGAGAAGATTGCCCGGTAAAAGCCAGGCACATCGTGCTGACACGTATGCATGAAAGAAGATTGATTTTAGGGGAGAAGAAAAAAATAATGCCCATAGCTGGAGCATAAGAGCAGGAGAGATGTTTATGCATAAGGACTGCCTCCCTCTCCTGCAGCAGTAAATAGCAGGGGGGGACGTGGGGGGAGGGTGTTGTGATTCTATTTCGTTACACTGCTCCAGGTGCTGGGGAGGCAGAGGAGGGACCCACTGTCCCCAGCCAGAGCTGCCGGGCTGGGGTCTGCTTTATTGGCCCACAGCAGAACAAGCCCCGAGCCCAGCAATCAGCACAGCCAAGGGATGGGGGACAGAAATGGCTGGTTAAGCTGCCTCCACACCCAGGGCCCGCTCTAGGTGGAGATGGAAACCTCCAGCACCCGGGCTTGCAGGCTATTGGGAGGGGGAAAAAAAGGAATAGCAGGAAAAAGGGGGAAAAAAGGAAAAATAATTAAAAGGGGAAAAAAGAAAAATAAAAGGGGAAAAAAGAAAACGTGGGGAAAGTAAAAAGGGAAAAATAAAAATAGGGAAGAAAATTTTAAAAGGAAAAAGAAAAAGGGAGAAAACAAAAAAAAAAGAGGGAAAAGAGGTGGAAAGGGAAAAAGGAGAGAAAAAAAGGAGGAAAAAAGGAGAAAAAGAAAATAAGGTAAAAAGGAAAAGAGGGAAAAAATGAAAAAAAGGGGGTGAGGGAAAAAAGGAAAGAAGGGGAATAAAGAAAAAAAAAGAATAAAGAAGAAGGAAAAAAGAAGGAGGAAAAAAGAAGGAGGAAAAAAGGAAAAAAGGAAAAAGGAAAAAAGGAAAAAGGAAAAAAGGAAAAAAGGAAAAAAGAAAAAAGGAAAAAAAAAGAAAAAAGGAAAAAGAAAAAAAGAAGAAAGGAAAAAAGAAAAAAGGAAAAAAGGGTGGGAGAAGAAGAGAAAGGAATGAAATGGGAAAAGGGAAGAAGAGAAAAAAGGGAGGAAAGAGAAAAGAAAAAAAGGGAAGGAAAGAGGGGGGAAAAAAATAGGAGAGAAATGGGGGAAGGAGGAAAAGAGCACAAGAGAAAATTATTTTGTTACAGCCTTAAGCAACATTATTTAAAAATACCTGGGGGCACTGACACGTATCTGGAGTGAAGGTGGCTTGCTTTACCTCTCCCAAGGTCAGACAGTGACAGTCCCAGTGCCCTTCAGACCGCCTTCAGTGCCCGCATCTAAGCCCGTGCCGCATTAACAACAATAGAATATTTTTTTTTCCCCAAATCAAACTAAAAATTATCTACAGCTTCCCTAGGTCCCTGTTGCCCCCCAAGCCCCCGGTGCCTCGCTGCCCCGCCCCGCGGGGGCAGCTCCGCGCTGGCCACAGTTGCCACGTTTTATTTTGTTAAGGCTATTTTGGAGCAACGCAGACGCCGCTGGCATCGGCAGTGGCACGCAGCTCGGCCAGGAGGTACCTTCGTGGGACTGCAGAGTAAATCGTTCTCATTTATTTCAAAAACACCTGTGCACGTTTATGAAACATGTTTTATATATAAACGGTTATTTATATAAACGTGTGTGTGCGTATATACACACTGACATGTATATATGCATCCTCACAAGCTAACAAACAGATTCCTCCTTCTTAAAGGCGGCAGCACAGCTTAATTTCAACAAGCAAAGCACTGCAGCAGAAGATAATAGAGTATCTTCCTCTACGTTTCCAGAGAAAAATAGATTTTTTTTAACGAGAGACCTATTTTTTTTTGCTTCCGATTCATTAGATACATGGCACCAATTAAACACACACAGGTCTACGTGTGTGCGCTCAGATATGCAGAGAACTCGCAGTGACTTGGCTGCTTTCCTCTGTACTATATCATAAAAAATCCCAAACACCAATAACAATAATAATAATAATGATAATTTTTAAAGGGGCAGCTACCAGGGTACCAGGAGGTGTCCCAGCCAACCCGCTGGTTTGCCCGACACACGCAGAGAGAAGAATATCTTCACTACAAGCCTTTCTCTTTGCTTTGTGCTTTGCAACGGGGGCGGCTGTGCCGGGGACGGCTCGACGCTGCCTCCCTGCCTGCGGACAGCCTCGCATTTATTTCACTTATTTTAACCAAATTATTTGATATAATAACAATAACGTTGACGGCGTTCTGCGCTCCCTTCCTGCCTTTGCCCTCGCAGCATCCTAAGGCGCTCTGATAGATGCTCCATCATGCAGACTGGGGTGGTGGGACACGCAGCTCCCCGGCCCGCTCCTCCCCACCCCTGGGACCACCCCAGGGATGCAGCAGCCTCACTGCAAACCGCTCCCCTGGGAAGTGGGGGGGGAGGCTAAGACTGGGGGTGACAGCCCCCACCACCACCCCCGGTGATGTGCCCGGCACAGTGTGTATCCCTGGCTCCCGCCGGCTTCGCCCGGGCAGGATATGCCCGTATCCCATCCAAACCCGTCGCCAGCCCTGCAATCCCCCCCACCCTGCTCCCCGACCCCAGC